TTTTTTTTTTTTTTTTTTTTTTTTTTTTTTTTTTTTTTTTTTTTTGCGGTCTTCAATTCGTTGTGCTACTTCAATAAGCTAGCCCAACCTTTTGGAAATAACAAGCGGACCTCAGCCCTTATATTTGCCTTTAGCCCATTTATGAAAGTGGCCTCCAATACTTCCTCCGTCATTTCCTGCAGAGGTTCGGCCAGTCTCAAAGGATCGCTGGAAGTCGGCCACCGTCCCTTGTTGTTTTACCGCCAGAAATTTCTTGCACGGGTTGCCTTCTTGTGTTGGTCAGAAACGCAGCAAAAGTTGTTGCCTAAAATGTTCCTAACCGTGAATCAGGGTTCTCGCTTCTGTCCATTGTAACCCAGATAAGGCGTCTTCATCTAAACTCACCCCAATCGCACCCATTTGCTCTCGATCAGTTAGCCCATTAACTTCGAAGTATCGTTCAACCCGGAACTGTGCCGGCCATTATTCCTTCGTAGCTTGCATCAACTGAGCCTTCTGGCCACTTTCCTCTATCAATTGTTCTCTATTCATTCTGCTGTGTAGCAGGTGAAACTTTACCTTCTGTGATCCCCCCCGATCCTTCGCCCTCGAGGTTTCTGTTTACCCCAGTTTCTGAATTAATTAGTGTAGCCACAGCTTTTTGTGTATCCTCCATGGTCCATGGAATGCTGCATTTTGGCCATATTTTGGGTTATGTATTCCATAGATTTCTCCATCCCTGCTAAACGCTGTATTTCTTACTTTTTTTCTTCTAATTCTTTCTCCATTGCTTTCGATTTTCTTTTGAGCCATCAGGACAAACAACTCTGATACCAATTTGATAGGATTCTATCTGGAAAAATATAGCTGAACATTGATTGAAGCTGAAAAGCAATACTGTAAAAGAAAGATAATAGATGCCTATGGGAGGTTGTGACTCTCAAACTCACTCCTCTTTCACTCTCTAAAATTGCATTTCTAATATGCCCCTTGGCAACTTTATTTATAGCCTTCTAGCAATTGACTTTTCTAACTAATTTCCCTCTATCAGATTTCTGTTTTCTTTAGCTCCCATCTGGTAATGCATCCTTCTTTGCCCTTCTAGAATGAGTAAACCGGATGGTGGGCTTATCAAAACTTTCTATTAAGATGTGAATTAAATACAGCCTCTTGTTTCAGGTGTTGCCAGAAATTCTTTTTACACCACACTAGGTTGTGAATTATGATTTCCTAGTGCTTTTCTGAAGCTAATGATCCTACTTTTTGTTTATTCTCCTTGTAGGAATTGATTACTTATCTGTTGCTGCTTTTGATGATCTCATTCCTTCTCATCTTATGTTCCTAGAAGGCAGAGTAAGTATTATTTATCTGATTATTTCTGAAGTTAGCTCATTGTAACTACATATCCATTTTTGTGCATCAGTTTCTCATTCTCATTTTGCGCAAATGAAGTTTATAGACAAAAAACATACGACTTTTTCATTTTTTTTTCTATTGATCCTTGATCTGTATTTATTGCACATTACGAGGGAATTGTCCAAATAGTCACTGAGCTTTACACGAGGTTTTCAAGAGGTCACTAAACTTTAAAAATTACCCCACTCATCACCGAACTTTCCAATTGTAATACCATTCATTTAAAATTTGGATGGAAAGTTGATGTGTTCGATGATGTGGCGTGCCAACTCATATGGTGATTGCCAAATGGATGACTTATTACACAGTTGGAATTTTTAACACATTTTTTTCATAGAATTAAAAAACAAAAAACATAAAAACAAAAAAATCTGAAACAATGGCAAATTCCAGCAGCTTGTTATCAACCACCCGGCATTCCATCAGCCAGAGATCAGACCGACGGTTCACTAGATCTCCTAATCTTATGTGTACCTTCTTTTACATTTTAACCAATGCCCTCTCATTTCACCGAAATCTGAAAGATCGGAGATATGGAGCNTAGATATTTATATCATGGTTGGAGTTAGAGAAGTGTTGCTGTGGGTGAGTGATGAAGTAGGCGAGGTGTTGAACTTTTGAAGACGAAGCCGAAGTGGTTGAGGAACCGAACCTGTGGGGATTGTTGCTGAATGTTGAAGAGGGAGCCGAGGTAGTTGAGGAACCGAACCTACGAGGCTTGTTGCTGAATGATGAAGAGGAAGCCGAGGTCCAATGGTAATGATTGTGCCTTGATAGCTGAGCCAATGATTTGATGTCTCGTGCTTGTTTTCGAGGAAAAGTGGCTGAAGCGTTACGACTTCCAAGGCGCCTGCTGCCGTCGTATTAAAAACGCAATTATGAGGGCGGCTGGCACTTCTAGAAGCAGACGCTCTGGAAGAGGTGCGTGGGAGGCACGCATGAATCTGAGGCGTAGGATTGAAAAACCCTTTGAATTCAACGCCTCGGATTGGATCTGAAATTGAGGGCTCAGATTGAGTGAGATTCAATCTAACGGTCGGGGTTCGTCCTGGACCTCTATAAAAGGTAAGGAGATCCCATTTTTTCAGGATTTTCGAACAGTTGCACTCTGATATTCCCACAGACGGCGCCAATCTGTTTATCCCAAAAAGTGCGCCAACAGATGCCGGTCCCACCCGCGCTTGCGTGGGCGAATGTCCAACACGCTAAGACACGTGGACGGTTTAAAACGAACGGTTCAAAGGGCGTGGGAGTAGCCCAACGACGCGAGACGGTGACGTTCGGAATTCGGCGGGTTGTTCGTAATCCGATTGTACAATAATTACCAACCGATGTTCATAAATGTGTATGTAAATGTGTGTAAACTCGATTTGTGTATTGCAAGTAAGATGGGAGAGAATTGAGTAAATGTAGTTCTTTTTATTGATTCTTGCATTAGTCCTTTGATATTACACAAGGGAAGTATTTATAGTAGTACATATGAAATGGGAGCCCTTGGATGAAGTGACACGTGGCCTCATCTCTTTAGTTCAAACATCTTTTCCTAGGTATGGGGCTTGACTCGCTAGCTTGCGGCACATTTACTGCTTGTGCAGGGCCTCCATGCTAGTGACAAGACTTGACCTTTATGCTTATGACAAACGTTCCATCAATCATTTGAATAAGATCTGTGCAGACAATCTCTTGGGAGAAGTGACCATGGAGGACGTTTCCTTGTGGTTCAGAGGCTCGCGCATCAGTTTCGGGGCTTCGGCCATTTGTCATGATACTTCCACTTGAGGGCCTCAGCTGCTCTCAACAGGTTTCAGCAGCCTGGATTCGGTTCGTAGGCCTCGTTCAATGGGCCTCGGACAAAAAGGAGCCTCGGCAGATGGACTTCGGCTCGAAGCAGTTCGGATGTAGCCCACCTCGGCATTGTGTGCCACCTCGGCAGAAATGCCACGTGGATCGCCATGAGTGGGCCATAATCCCAGGTAGGCTAGTCAGGTGTGACAACACGCAACACATAGTATCCTTCGTGCATTTGAAATGTTGTTATATGGACCTCCTCCCTTTGGACTCTAATTTGGTGATATCCAAACTTAAAATCCAATTTTGAAAACACTGTGCCCCATGCAATTCATCCAATAACTCATCAATTACTGGACTGGAAAATTTATCTTGAATGGTTACTTTGATGAGGGCTCGATAATCGACGTAGAATCGTCAACTTACGTCCTTTTTTATGAGTAACACTGCACTTGAAAACGGACTCACACTGGTCTGAATGATACGTGCTTCTAGCATTTCCTTGACTAATCTCTCTATCTCATTTTCTGAAG